TTTATAACAAATAAATAATAAATTATAAATAGTAAATTATAAATAATAAATAACAATAATAAATAATAAATATTAAAGAAAAATTTATAAATTATAAATAAATTATAAATATTAAATAATAAATAATTAATAATATTTTATAAATAATTTAAATTAAAAATTCATTAATTAATTAATAATAAATTTAATAATAAATATTAATAATATAATATTATATATAAAGATTAATACTTTTAAAAATAAAAAATATATTATTTATTATATATTTAAATATATATTTATAAAGAATATATATTTAATTATAATTAATAATTTATTATATTTTTTTTAATTTTTTTTATTTATAAACATTTTTTTTTAATAAAAATATTTATTTTTTTATTTTTATTTTACTATTTATTTCTTTAATTATTTTTTAAATACTATTAATTTATTTATATAATTTTTTTAATATATTAAATTCATATAATTTTATATATTTTAATATAACATTTTACTATTTATTTAATCATTTTAATTTATTTTATCTTTTTATATTTATCATCATATTATAAATGTAGCAATTAATAAAAATAAAGTTTAATAAAAAATTGTATTGATATCTCTACTGTTTTTGGTTTTATTACCTTAAACTATAGTAATACCATTATTTGCAGTATATTTTTATTATTTGCTTATTTATCTTAACTATCATTTATACTATTTTTATTTTCTATTATATCACCTTCATAGTTTGTAGTACCATCTCTATTTTTATTGCATTTTCTATTTGAATAATAAAAACCTTTTTTATTATCACATTCATAGCATTCTTAAGAAGAGCAACTCAAACATCCTTTACGACATTTAATACATTGTTATTTTTTATAATCATGATAATAAGTATCAGGACAAAATTCAAAACACTTATCCAAATACAATATGTATCCTTTTTAACATTATATGCATTGTAAATTATTATTTTAAGAACATTTTAGACGTATGAAACATGACATTATTAGTTAATACAATTATTAAAAGTATCAAGTTCCCAACCTTTATTCGTATCGCATTACATACAATTAGAATATTCAAAACATTAAAGACAACCAATTTCACAGTTTAAGCATTTAAACTTTCGAGATTTCGTTTCTTAAGGACATCTATTATAGCATTTATTGTTATAATTGTAAATATCATCTTATTAGCATTTAGTTATTGGAGCACATTCTCTTTTTTCGATATCCTCAAATTAAGTTTCAGAACATTAGTAAACACATTTTCCTTCTTACAAGAATAATCCACTTTTACAAGAAAAACAAGTATCTAAGTCACTTGAGCATTATCAGCATTAATAAGAAAATTTAGCACATTAATCGCCTTTTTTAACATATTATGAATATTCATCACATACTGCACATATAGTTAGTGATTAACATTATCTACATCCTATAATTTCGCATATTTAACATGTTTTATTTTCTTCATTAGCGAATGTTCCTTCTGGGCATTAATTAGCAACAACACATTTACCAGTTTTTAAATTAAGAAAGAACTAGTCTTTACATTTAGTACATTATTCATGAACATCAAAATCACATTTCTCACATTCTTACCCACATCCTTAACTGACTGATTTTTCACATGTTTTTTAATTTATTAATTAGAAATTATTACTACATTATTTAAACATTTTCCTTCTTCTAAATATGTCAAAAAACCGCATTCTAAACAATCATTCTTCGAAGCCCCGGAACATTTTATACACGACATATCACATTTAGTATATATTATTTATATTATCTTAGTAATAACCATTAGGACACTATTCTCTACAGAATTTGTCAGGGTTTGCAAATTTACCTTAGGGACATTATTAAACACATTTTTAGCTATCATCATCTAAAATAAATTATGCACAAAATCTTTTTAGTTAGACTTAACAATAAGTTCCCGACCATCCATGTGAGAATTTATATTCTCCATGTATACAAATACCCTTTAAGTTACAATAATAAGGACATTCCGGAGTATAACTACAAAATTCTCTTTAATTATCAGAACATTCAATGAATCCATATTCTGGTTTTTCTTTAACAACTTCCATTTACTTTCCTTAATCTTATTATGTGCATACTAATTTTTGAAATCGTTAATCAGGAAAACCTATTGTAATATAAGTAAAATCAGGAGAACATATAACGTGATGACAACGAGTAGTTTAATGGAATTTATTATATAATCCATCATTAGCAGTAGATCGAAAGCATCTAGAATTAACTCCATAATATTACAATAGATTATCATGAAACTATTTTAAGTTTGAATAATCTTCGCATAAAACTGAATTGTTAATTTTTTTGCAATTATCCATTAAACTATTTTAAACAACTTCCCCATAACCATAATTTTATGAAGAGCATTAACCACGACAATATTCTGTTCGACTAAACTCTGAATAATAAGTACCAGATTAGCAAGCTTTAAGAACAAAATCACATCCTTTATTTTTTCCCCATTATATATTATTAGCCATACTTTCATTTACTTCAGCATAATAACCAGTATCTTTTAATACAGCAATAGTAAAAATAGACAATATAGATTCCATTTCAGAAAAATCTGCAGTCATCAATTCATTAAAGAGGATTGTTTTTTCCCAATGAGATCACATAGAATTAATATCTCCATCATTCTCTAATTGCATTCCTTCTAAATTAGGACATCCATAGTATTTTCTAGCAGTAGCAAGCACATTTGGAGTAAACATGATAATAGTTTACTTACCCCTTATAGGAACTGTTTTTACATAATTATTTATTTCATTATCATAATAATCTCCAGTTTAAGGATTTATCCAATATTTATATAAACTTTTTGCCTAACATATGCAACATTTCATGCAAAATATGATTTAAATAAATTTTAAATCCAGAATCAGTAAATTAGTATTATAATGTATACATATTTACCTTAATGATACCAAAATTAACTCTTTTTAAAGCAGGATCCATTTAACAATGAACAGCATTAGCTAAAATTTAAGAATCTGGATTATTATATTAGGCAAGCCAAATATGAATATCAGAATTTCTCTCACCATCTGCTCTATATTTTGGAGGAATATTTATATTCTAACATCTTTCACTATTATATATATATTAGGCCCTAAAGCAGGAATTACTTTTAATAGTTATTAAAAATATACCTAAATAAAATTCATTGTATTTTTTAATTATTCTTTTTAACGAATAGTTATATCATTTTAATTTTAGCCAAATAAAATATAATCCATAGTAATTCTTATGGGTTATGCTTACTAAGGCAAGTTAACCATCTGCAAATTTCTATTTTATGTGTTTTTTAAAACTTCTTCTTTTTATATTCTTCGTGTTTATTCTATTTGATCAATTACTTCTGAGAAATTAAATTCAGTATCATGATTGCATACATGATTATATGCTTAGGAAAGTAACAATATTATTAAAATTGTGTTTTTAAAGATTTTTTAAAATTTCATTTTAATTATTTTTATTAATTAATTAATTATAAAAAAATTATTTATTTTATTTGACTTCTTTCTATATTTTTGTCTATATTATTATATAAATAAATTATTATTATTATATTTTATTATAATTATATATTTTATAAGATAAAATAAGATTTATAAATGTTTATTATTTATCAATATAAATAATTTATATTATAAAAAATTTCCATAATTTTATTAAAAAAATAAATTTAAATTTTGTCATATATATAGTTTTATTTATTAAATGAAATTATTTATTTTATAAAAATAATTAATAAAATAAAAAGGCATCGTAATAATAAATAATAAACTAAAAAAAACTCATTATATTTAAAAGTAATATTAGAAATAATATAATAAATAATAATTAAATATTTCATAAAGATTTAGTGTGTAAATTACCATTGTTTTATTTTTATTAGCAAAAATATTTAAATAAAAAAAAATTATATTTGTCATTTTTATTAAATAAAAAACTATAATAATAGTTTTTTAGTTAAAAATAATAATAAATATTAAAAAAATTAAAATTATAAAAAAAGTCTATATCATATATAATAAATTAAATATTTATTTGAAATTATAAAAAAATGTAAAAGTATTATTTTTTTAATAGAAAATATAATATATTAATATATATTTTATATTAATTAAATTAAAACAACAAAAATTATTATATATTGATATATTTAATATTTAGTTTTTAAACAATTTTATGTATATATTTATAAAGTTGCTTTTTATTAATAAAAAAAGTTCAGATAAGATCCTTTATGTTCATCTAAGTATGGCCAAAAAAAGAAGCATTCTTTTTTATTACTATTTAATTTACTTATATACAGAAAAATAAATTTAACTAAATACATATAATTTTCTTTAATATTAAATAATAAAAAAAAATTATAAAAGTTTTTAATAAAAATAATTAGTGATGTTATTTAAAGACAGGACTGAACATGATTCAATAAAATTCAGTTTTTGTTTTTGAACAGTAAAGTATTTCCTATTTTATTTATTTTTTAAAAATATACATATTATTTATATTAATTTTTTATTTATAAATTATTTATTTATAAAATTTTAATATTTAATTATATATTTTTAAAAAAATATAAATAATATAATATATATATTTTTTTTATAGAAATATCAAAATAAATAAAAAATTAATAATTATAAAAATATATAAATTATTTTTATAAGCCAATTAAAATATATTTACCGAATATATTATAATTTTTAGCAGAATGGTTTTTAAGCATTTTTTTTAGGCATAATGTTCTTAAATAAAAAATATTTTAAAAGATGTAAAATTATCTGAAATTTAAAATAAAAAAACTAAAAAAAAGAATTATTTATAATAAATAATTAAATTAATTATAAAATAAAATAAAAAAAAATTTAGAAAAAATTAATAAAAGAAATTTTAAAAAGCGAGAAATAATTTTTTTAAAATAATCATTATATATAAATAGTTAAATAATATAAAAAATTATTATAAAAATTAAAATAAAATAAAGTTAATATATAAATTATAAATAAATAAATAATAATTTGTTTATTATAAATCATAAAATCAATATTAAAAAAATATAAAAATTATAAATTATTTATAAAAGCTAAATTTATTATCAGTATTTAATTAAAAAAAAAAGAATATAATATAAAAATAGAAAAAAATTATGATATATTTAAAAAATATTTTTAATAAAAAAAAATAAGATAAATATAAATTATATTATAAAAAAAATATATGCTATTAAATTATTAAATGAATAAAAAAAATATAAATTTTATATAATTATAAATATTCACTATAATATAATAAATATATTTATTTAAAATATAATTATTATATTACTATATATATATTAAAAAATAATAATACTTATAATATAGCTGTATAAATCATAATGTTATATCAATTTAGCTGCACTATTCTGATTTATAAAATATGATAATATTTAA